TGGAGGCCCCCCGCGGGGTCCTGGGTCCATGCTGGGGTGGGGGTGTCGGGGAGGGTGGGTTGTACATGCACAGGTGTGTGCTGCACAGGGTGTCACACGAAGCAGGAAAGCACCGGCGCAGCCTCCTGGCCCAGTCTGCAGCAGCTGGGGCCACCGGCAGCCCCACAGTGACCCCCCCCCAGGAAATCCAAAGCAGGGAGAGCTCGGGGTTGGGAGCAGACATGTATTGCCAAAACACAGGATTACACAGCCCGGAGCAGTGGGACAGGACCGCACTGACACCCCTGAGGCACCCAGCACCCACCACCTCAGGCAAGGGGGGCTGGGTGGCCTCCAAAGTGAGTCTGGGAGTGCCCCCTCCTTGCACCCAGTGTCTCTGAAGGCACCAAAAACTCCACAGGGGAAACAGCCCAAGAGGCACCTCCCACACCCCCGGCCTGCTCCGGTCCTGGTGGAGACGGTCCCCGCCAGAGACCCCATTGCTGCAGGCATCAGGGATGGGGGTGCCTGCCATCCCCATCCCCATCCCTGCCCAGCTCTGGCAGCTCTCTGCAGCCAGGGTCCACCCGTCCCCCTGGCTGGGGGGCCCTGGGACTCTGCCCCGCTCAGATCTCCTGCAGGAAGTCCACGGGGAAGAGCCCCACTTTGCGGCCAGTGTAGACTTTCACGTAACCATTCACCTCCTCACCCTTCTGCACCACGATCTGGGGGCAAGAGGGGTGCTGGTGAGACTCCCGGGGCCTCACAGAGCAGGGGGAAGGTGGCAACCCCCAGGCAGGGGGAGGGGCTGGGCAGAGCAGGTCTAGTCCAAGGGGCTGGGGGAGGTGGGCAGTGTGAGGATGGTAATGCAGGCCAGGGCAGAGAGCCGCTGTGGGGTGCAGCAGGGCACCAGGGCAGCCGTGATGGGTGGGGGCCTGGAGGGAGGCTGGGGCAGAGATGCAGGTGGGGGCTGGAGGACCATGGGCTGCAGCCACGTGGTCCCGTCTCACCTGATCTTTCTTGAGCGTGATCTGCCCGATCTCCCGGTTGCCCACGAAGGAGCGCGTCACCTTGTGCACCCGTTCACCTGCCCGCACCCGGATGATGAAGTTTGGAGGGAAGTAGCCAATTTTTTCACCAATCTTCCCCTGAAAGAAGTCAGTGGATGGGTGCAAGGTGGGGGTTGGAGCCAATCTGTATGACGCCCAGATTCCCCCATGACAAACAGTCTGCAGGTTGTGGGTGGCATGAGGACACAGCAGATTTAGGGGGCTGTGTCCCCCTTAGAGTGCAATTTGCACTCCCAGCTGACCTCTCCCTTTGCTTTAAGCTCTGCATCTTTCCCCTCTGTGCTTGTAGGACACCAGCCTTACCCGCCACCACTCCTCATTGGAGTCATCGACCACCGTGATCTTCTCCCCTGGCCTGCGAAGGGAAGGAAGGGCTAAGTGAGAGGGGGGGGCAGGGACCCCCTGCCATGGGAGACCCTGAGGTTGGCAAGGAAAATTGCTCTTCCCACAGCACCAGCTCCTAGAGCCCTGTGTCAGGGGAGGTCGAAGAATGCACACAGCCCGCGGGCTCAGGGACAGACGGGTCCTGTAGGTCCTGTATGTGAGCAGTTCAGCCTCAAGTCTGGGGTGCAAGAAATCAGTGGAACCACATCAAGACAAACACCAGCAGCCTTGGAAATGAGGCTTGTGCCCAAAGCATGGGAGGTGGGAGAGCTGGCTCAGCGAGAGCCAGGGCCCCCACTCGATGTATAGCTCATTGGGGCAGGCAGAAAAGCCACAAAACCCAAACCACAGCCAGCATGGCTCTAATTTCTGCCCTCATTCATTCATTCACAGACCTCTCCTGGCCATGAGAACCTCGTTGTTGAGGTGAAGACTTCTCCCCCTCCTCACTGGACACCCACATCCTTTCTCTTGTCATCCCTGTGCCTACTACATGGCTGGGAACTTACGGGAAATCCAGGTCATCTTTCTCCAGGGCTTTGAAGCGATAAAGTGCCACAAAATAGTGAGACTGCAGATAGCCACCACGAATCCCTGGCTGTGGCTTCTTGTTCTGGGGGAGGAGGGTAGAGGGGTTTGGGGCCCCAGAGAGGCTGAGGACAGCCCTGGAGAGCCCAGCAGGGAGATCCCTGCAGCCTCTGCCCATGCTGCTCCAAGGCCAGGGACCTTTGGGGCGTAGGGTGAGGATGATGGCTACCTTGTCATCTGTTGGGCTCTTCTCAGTCTTCTTGTCCCCTTCAGAGGTGCCTGGAAATGGGAGGAGGGGGGTTATATCTCTCCTGGTGCTGCCTCCCTGACCCGGGACCAGCCTCCTCCCAAGGATCTCCTGTGCCCAGGTCAACGAGGGGAAGCAGAGAGCGGCCCAGGGTGGACACCTGAACTGAAGACCCCCTTTCTGCAGGTCAAAACCCACCACAGTGGGCCCCCCAAGTACAGTCTCCGCTTCAGGCTCCCTCCCTGCCCCATGCTCGTGGCTGGAGCTCAGCCCCCCCCAGTTCCTTGGCCCTCGTGTGCAGCCAGCCCTGCCACGGTCACAGCACTCACCGCCCTCAGTTTTGCCCTCTTCTGGCTTTGTGGCCTCTGGTTCCTCATCCATCATAGCAGCCAACGGCTGCAAGGCAGAGAGCTGTCAGGGGGTGCAGAGCAGGCAGGGAGGTGGGGGTGGCAATGGGGTGCAGGCTATGGTGCCAGGACCCTTGGGCATTTGGAGCAACAGGCCAACCCCATACTCACGTTTTTCTTGTCATCCTGCCCTTTCTTGCGCTCCTTGTTGGCCATAATGACACCCGTCCGCAGTGTCTCGAACACAGGGTCACTCCTGTTAGCTGCCGCTGGGTCACAGGGATGGTGAGAGGGGTTCAGCTGCAGGATGTGAGGAGATGGGGCACCCCGACATGGGGACAGTACTTACAGAGCAGCTCCTTGACACAGGCGTATTGCTGGTCACTGTAGAGGGGTGAGCTGTATGCCCGGCGAAACCCTGGGGGCTGGAAGGAAAGAGGAGGTCAGAGCATCAACCACCACCCAGACCTGTGGGCCCTCCTGTGAGAGCTGAAAGGGGAGTGGGTGGATGCTGGGGACCCAGAGGGTGACCACCCAGCAGGGGGGTGATGCCTGGGTCCCCCCCTTAGAGCCAGGAAGAGAGGTGGGTCATGGCGCCTGGGTCATGCCCACAGGGACTGGGCTGGCCGCTCCCTGCCACAGTGCTTTGGTCTTCCCTGTGAGGAGGTGCCCCAAGCCTGGGGCCGGTGGGAATACTCACGATTTTGCCGAAGCAGCGCTGCATCTCCACGTAGGACTGGCAGTGGTGGTGGATGTTGGTTTTGCAGTTCTTGCACCTCAGGCCAAATTTGTTGTTGACTGGAGGTGGGGGGGGTGGAGGGGTGGAAAGGAGAGGCAATGTGACACTGCAGCTGTGGGGATGGCTGGGCTGGAGCCCTCGCCAGCCTTGGCCCCCAGCCCTTGCCCTGACCATGGCCCCCAGCCCCAGCACCCTCAGGACTCACGGACAATCATGCGGGCACAAACATCACAGAACTTGGGCTTTTTGAAGTAATGATCTTTGAACTTGTGGGGTTTGTCATTGACAAGTTTCTGGGGCTCGGGAGGGGGCTCAGGCTCCTCCTCCTCTTCCTCCTCTTCCTCTTCTTCATAGATGTAGTAGATGGGTCCTCCTGAGGGGCTGACCAGCTCCCCATTGGGCTGCGGCTCTGGCGCCATCTCCTCCTTGGGCTTTCGCTGGAAAAGTTGCTTCAGCTTCTGTAGCTGCTGGGGCAGGAGAGGACGCATTGCACACGGCAGGCGTGTGGGGTGAGGCAGGCAGGCAGGCAGGCAGGCAGAGAAGCCGGTGGCTGGCTCCCTGCCCCTTTGCTCTGACCTAGAGACTCCTTCTTCCCCAAGTGGGAGGAGACCCCAGGCATCCTGGGGCAGAAATGCTGTGAGGACGGGGACCCTTCTCCTGGCCCCGTGAGGTCCCCACAAAAGGAGAAACTGTGACTCCTGAGCACCATGTGGATGTGGGCACCCTGGGGAAAAGCCAAGCTGGGAAATGGCTACCCAGTGTCCTGCTGCATCAGGATCCCACCAGGCATCCCTGGCCCCAACAAAGACTGCTGGGGCTGAGGCAGAGAGGATGCTAGAAAGGTGGCTTCCCTCACCCACCCAAGCTGCCCTGTGAGCACCCACTTACCCGGCTCTTGGGTTTCCCACCTGAAGCAGGTGAAGCTGGTGGCTCTGGCACTTCCTTCTCTGTCATGCTATGAAGGAAAAAGAGAGACATCACGTTGGCTGGGGCTGTTCCCACTGCAGGTGCCCAGTGGGGGCAGGAACGGCCAGACCTTGCTGGATGGGAAGCATCTCCCAATCCAGCGCCTCCCTCTGCCCCAGCAGCACCACCTCCTGCCACCCTGCCTGCAGCTCCTGCCCCAGCAAGGGCCAGTGCTGCTGCGGGTGAGTCCCAGGGCACCCGCTGGGCCCTGCTGCACAGGCTGGAGAACGGCAGGCTCCCAGCCCAGCGTGCACAGCACTGCTGCTTGCTCAGTGGATGTGGTGCCAAGTGCTGTGAGCCAGACCCTGGGCTACCTGCACGTGTCCATCTCTGTCTAGACATCTCCATCTCACGATTAAACTGCAAATGGTGCGACTCTTGGCCCCCTAGGACAAGCATGCCTATGATGCTGTCTGGCATCACTGCACAGCCCTGCTTTCTTCTCCACAGAAGCCCTGTGCTACCATGGGGGCAAGATCTGCTCCTGAATCCCCCAAAACATGCCTGATTCCACCTTTGACTGTCAACCATCCCCACAGTCCTTCTACCCAGGCATCACTGTTTTTGGCGATACCTAACATGAGGCCCCCCCATGCCCTCATGGAAACCAACCAGTATGACCGTCAGGGAAACAGTGATGGGGGCTGGGGAGTCCTGGGGCAAGGGGTGCTGCAGAAGCAAAGAGCCCTAGGGTCTTGCAGCAATGTGGGTGGAGCAGGGGCCCACGGGGATCAGTGGCCACAACGAGGGGGAGCCGCGCATGGAAACACACTTACGCTGTGTTTGGAGCTCTCGTCCTGCGATGAAAAACCCTGCAAAGGGTGGCCGATGTTGGGGCCCTGTTGGCTGTTGAGCCCCCAGCCCTCTGTGCCGGGTGTGCAGGGAGGGGGCAGCTGCCCCAGTCCCGTGGAGAGTGGGAGTGACAGGCCAGAGGGGAACCGACAGCTGAGCGCTGGCGGAGGCTGACGCTGAGAAATTGGAGCCCATGCATGAGCCAGGAAGGGAGCGGGGTGGAGAGGAGCCACTGGCTATTTGCGTTAGTGGGTTGCTGGGCGTGCCAGAGGCCCACCCACCCCCTGGCATGGGGCAGCAGCAGAGCCGGGGCACACCAAGTGCTCCAGCCTTGATGTCTCATTTGCTCTTGCATTTGAGGCCCCTGCAGCTGGGAGGGGAAAAGGAAAGAGTGGCAGCAGTGGGGTTTCTCTGGCAGAAAATCTTGCTGGTCTGCACTCCACTGAGACAGAGGGCTGCCATGGAGGAGAGAGCTGGGGACCGCATTGTTATCATGCTGCCCTGCAGTGGGTGCCAGGTCGCTGGAGCTGGACACGCACCCCAGTGCCAGAGTCCCTGGACCAGAGTCCCTGGACCTATGTCCCTGCCAGGCTGTGGGTGGCAGTGGGGCAGAAGTTCACACCAAGGCTGGGGTTGGAGCCCACCCGTTCCAGACAGCTCTTACCTCTCCACTTGCACCTGCTCTTGAAGGTAGCATCCAGATGCTGCAAGAGGCTCCAGCTGCTGTGTGCAATGCCATGGTGAGGGTGGTGCCAGCCCAACTCCTGTACCCACAGGGCAGGACGCAGCGATACCTGCATCTGTCAGCTCAAGGGCTGCTCCTCTGTAATCAGGAGGAATAAGTTGCTTCCTGGCAGGGGATACAGCTGGGGACACCCTGCGCCCCCATTCTTGCCATTGCACAGCTGCATGGGGCCAGCAGCTGGGAAAAGAGGCTATGAATATCTGATGGGGGGGACCAGCCCCAGGTCAAAGTGCTCAGCGCTCCTCTCCCAGTCTTGGCTCCCAGCCTTGGCAAGCCATGAGCTCACAGCCCTTGCACGTGCCAAGCATGGGGGCAGGACCTGGGCAAGAACACATCCTCCTGTGAGTGCCCCTTCTGCTCCCTGGCTGTCATCTCACCCCTAAGAGGCAGCACAGACAGCCCCTAGCACTGGTACTGGCAGAGAACGGGAAAGCAGTGTTAAAGTGATGGACAAGTTTTCTTTTTATATTTAAAAACAACCCCCCAAATAAAATAAAACCAAAAATATCCCCCAAATAATAATCAGATTAAATAAAATGTGCAGTGAACATACCAATCAACACCTGTATGTGCGGTTCAACACAGTGCTTAACAAAACAATATACACAGGGTAAGGTGGGCGGGCACGGGCATCACTCCAAAAATAATAATAATAAAAAAAAAATCAATTTCTTGTCTCTTAATTATGTCCATATAAATATATCCAGGAAGGAGGGCGAGAAGAAGGGAGGGCAGAAAGGAAAAGAGAAGGCAGAGGGAAGTGCCCGCAGTCCAGTGTGCTCTGTGCCCATGCGTGAGCCCTACTGTGAGCTGGCACGCTCCAGCACCCGCAAGTCGTAGTTCTTTTTGGCCACACGCAGCTTGAAGCGGCTGAGGGAGTTGTTGAGGCGGAGGGAGGCATTCTGGGCAGCCAGTGGGCTGGGGAACACGGCCACGATGGTATATAAGGCAGCAAGGTCACTGTGTCTGCCGTTCTCTGGAGTCCCGTTGTTGTCCCCGCCGCCCCCATCTCCACGGCGCCCCTGAGTCTCTTTGAGCCACTGGATTTTGGCACCAGCCATGGCAAGCTGGGTGAAGAGCTTGTCAGCCTCTGTCCGTGTGATGCCCTCGGGCAGGTCTGTCACCTCCAGCACTCGGCCCAGCACTGCAGTGGAAAGACAGCACATGTCAGCAGCAGCAGATTCTTGGGTGGCAACAGCACAGTGAGAGCTGATGTGTGGACTCCTCACCAGCTCTGGGGGTTGGAGCAGTCACCTCTACTTTGCCCATGAAAGCAGTGCTTTGCTAAGCTGCCCCCACATTAGAAATGTATTTTTTTAAGCCAGTCTCTTCTTCCCCCTCAAACTGCCCCTACCATTCTGCTCCCTACAGTGCCCCACCCTGATCCTTTCTGATGCCCACATCCTGGTCCCCACATGGCCTGCTTCAAGAGCAGACTGGTATTTCCCATTTGCCCAGGGCTCCAGCAACACCAAGTCCTCCTTGCTTCCTTTGGCTGGGCTTGGCTTTTCAGTTAGGGCTTTCCCAGGTGCTCTGCCCCATCTTCCTACCCTGATCCTTGAGTACCAGGATTGGGAGCTAACCCAGCTCTCCTGCCCTCTGTCCCTGGAAGGGAGAAAGACAGGCTGCACCCACGGAGGATGTCGACATGTGCGGATCCTGAATGTGACACTGCCCTGGGTGCTTCACCCATGGGGAAGATCCCCTTGTGTGCCCAGGCCAGTGTCATGCCAACCTCTTTGCCTCTGCCCTGTGGTACCCAAACACTTCTGCTGCCTCCTGGCTCCAGCCCTGGCTTTTGGGCTTAGCGGAGGGCTGGCTGAATGGATTCTTTGCTAATATTAACACGGCATGTAATGAACATGCCAGCCGCAGGGAGGGGGGCAGCTCTCTGGCAAGCAGCTCTTAAAGGGCCCCCTGCAACCAGCTGCTGTTGTTGTTGGTGACATGGAGGTGACATGGGGGACAAGGCTGAAGCCTCCAGAGAGCCAGTGAAGACTGCATCCCTTCCAGGCTGTTTGGCTCATGCTCAACTAGCAAGTCTTGTATTGCTGTGGGGAGAAGCCAGACGTGCCTCCCCTTCCCTCCCTGATGACCAAGTGGATATCCCCCAGGGCGAGGAACAGGGAGTCCCTTCCCCTTTGGAGAGGAACGATCCACTGGGGATTTCAGCCCTCACAGCCACCCCTGGAGGATCCCAAAGCCCTTTACAAAGATTAGGGCTCTGCAGCTCCTGGCCCCACTGGGAAATGGAAGCATGAGAGGGAAGGGTCACTTGGGAAGGCAATGGTGGGAACAAGATCTCAGGGGTCTGGACACTCACTTTCTGCTGACAAAGAGGAATAAAATCCCAGGAGTTCTGCCAGCTCCACCCACTCCATCGTTTCAACACTCACAGAGGCAGGAATAGGGCCCAGGTGTCCTGGTGCTCATAACTGACTCTCCAACAATTTCTCCCCACTCTTCCTCAAAAACTTTGATCGGTGCAGGCAGTGTTTACCAGGTTCCTGAGCAACCCCTGTCCTCCCACCTTCCAATAGGCACAGCTGACTGGGACTGGTTCTGCTGCATGCCCCCCTACCCTGCAAGCCAGGCCTCAAGTGGGCTGTGGTGGGTGTGTGTTTGTGTGCGTGGGGGAGGCGGTGGCAGGCAGGAACTGCTCTCCACAACCACCCCCAGCAATGGGTTCTGTGGGATGCTGGTGTGGGCAGAGATGGCATCTGGAGTCTCTGCCAATGCCAGCTACACCCATGCAGTGGGGACTAGTCAGAGGGCAAAAGGGGAACTGCTTGAGGAGGGTCACTTGCCTACATCACTTGTCCCAAGGTCAGTGGATGCTGACTTGAGAGCCTGTCTCTTGCTCCGGTTTCCATGCTTCATTCCAGTCTGCCCCTTAAAGAATAAAAATGGTAGCGTGTCACCTGAAGAGACACTGTGGCCTCACAGTGCCCACAGAGCATCCTGGGAGTGGGGAGGAAGACCAAAGTTGACTAGGCCATGGCTGTGAAGGGGAGTGAAGACACCTGGATGAACCTTGCACGCCCTGGCACCTTTGAGGTGACACCATGCTTGGGTAAGTTAGATGAAAACAAGGCACAGCCATGGTTCCAGGACACTCAAAGGATTTGGGACTGACACTGCTTCTGGGCAAAGCTGGGAGCAGGATGAAATTTTAGCCCAGTGCCAGGCTCTAAGGAAATCCATTTACAATGGCAGCTCTGCCGGATGGATGGCAAGAGCGTGGGGTAGGGAGCCTGCTACCTAATCAAGAGGTGTCCAAGCACAGGGCACAGTGTGAGACTTACTTCTTAACTACTCCTGGGCCCTGCCCAGAGAGGGGTTGTCTAGGGGGAGTGGAGGGGGGTGGTCTTGCTCTGCTCCTAGGACAGTGAAAGGGTGGG